GTTGATGGACACTTAGGCTCTTTCCATGTTTTAGCTATTGTGGAGAGTGCTGCTATGAACATTGGGGTACATGTGCTAGTTTGGAAAGGTTTTACTGCTGTGTTTTGAGAGCTTGAAAAGCTTTATAGAAGATTGAAATCTCTCGAGGAGCAAAAAAAAAAAAAATCTGATTAGAAGTCATGGGTAGAATTGCCTTCTGGTGAACTTCACTTTGCCTGAACACGTGGCCAGGCGACGCTGGCCGGGACCCAGTACAAGATTTAGTGAAGACCACCTGGAGTCCTCCGAATCTGTGATTCCCAAGCAACTTGCTTCCTCACTCTTGTCCCCTCTTGTTCAGGGTCCAAAGTGGATTTGAGGAGATTACACTGATCAGTTGATTACACAATCAGCTTAGTGTTGTTTTTAAAGGGACATTTAGGGGCGTGTTTTAGGAAGGCGCGGATATTTTAACGTCAATATCTAGATTAAGGATATTTCCAAGCTTCCTCATCCCCACAAAAATATTTATGGATCTAGCTTCCGTGGTTTTAATCTAAAACCGTTTAAGGATTTATGTTTTCAATCTATGTTACGTCTCTCCTGGTAATACTTCTCGCACATTCACCACGTGCTGTGTAGTATACTTCCGTTTTTTCTTTTTTCTTTTTCTTTCTTTCTTTCTTTTTTTTTTCTTTTTCCCCTAGATTTACCTCCTTTAGGTTCTGAGGGGTGCCCTCAGGACTAGCTGTCCAGGATGTGATGGACAAGTCCCTATTCTACCAAAAAGGGAAGTAAGACTTACCAGTTTGCTCTAGGAACCAGAAATTAATCACAAGTCTGGGAACAATTTCTGTGTAAGCATCTCAGTCGGAGTATTGGGAAATCTAGCATCAGAAGATATGAGTGCTTCATTTTCCAGTCTGTATCTTTTGAAAATTATACTTATTTAATTATCTCAGTAAAGCGTTCTGGAACCTGGCTATACCACTAACTGGAGTAGGACAGAGTTGGAGATGAATTCTCACCACAGGAGTTAGTACTCTTTTAATGTACCGACCAGGTGATACAGCCCAAACTGTAACATTACAGAAAAAGATACCGAGAGCTATGATTAAATAATTGTGATCTATAGAATTCCAGTTGAGCAGTTCTAACATGTTTTTGAAAAGAAAGGAGTGCCTGACTCATCTGATGCTCTATAAAATGTATTCAAACTTAACTAATCAACGAAGAAACTGTGAGTTCCCGCTATCAATAAACCATGAGCAATTATTGCCTGTTTGTTATATATATAATACGGTCTTTAGTACAACATCAGCACTTGACAGTAGTTAATTTAATTCAAAAGCCATTTATGAAGTGAATACGAAGCCCTTGGCTTGATGCTAAAACCTGAAACCAAGATAAATAATAACAGGTAATTTTGCTCAAGGAGTTTATAATCTAGTAAACAAACACAATGGTCAAAAATGTAAGAAGGCCACCAAACTTAAGGAAGAAAATATTTCAGTTTAGATATGAGAATGATAATCGGGGTATGAACTAGGGTGCTAAAGAATGGACACCTTTGGGGCTCCTGGGTGGCTCAGTTGGTTGAGCGTCTGACTTCGGCTCAGGTCATGATCTCATGGCTCATGAGTTCGAGCCTTATGTCAGGCTCCGTGCTGACAGCTCAGAGTCTGGAGCCTGTTTCTGATTCTGTATCTCCCTCTGTCTCTGCCCTTCCCCTACTCATGCTTTGTCTCTCTCTCTCAAAAATAATAAACATTAAAAAATAAAAATAAAAAAGAACTGACACTTTCTATTCCTCTTTGTTATAAACTCTTCAATGAGTATAGACAAAGAGTTTTTATCCAATTTGTTTTACTCTGAGTAAAGGGAGGAGTTTAGACTTTGAACCCTTCTCATCGCTGTTTTAAGTCTATAATAAAATCTTTCAGGAAAGCCCTGTCCAAGCTTCAGGACAAGTAATTCCCTAGTAAATATTAAAACAGGTTAAAAGGTAAGTGATTGGGGTGCCTGGGTGGCTCAGTCAGTTAAGCGTCCGACTTCAGCTCAGGTCATGATCTCGCCATTCATGGGTTCGAGCCCCACATTGGGCTCTGTGCTGACAGCTAGCTCAGAGCCTGGAGCCTGCTTCAGATTCTGTGTCTCCCTCTCTCTCTGACCCTCCCCTGCTCATGCTGTCTCTCTCTCTCTCTCAGAAATAAATTAAAAAAAAATTTTTTTAATTTAAAAGGTCTTTTAAATTAGACCTTTAAAAGGTCTGTGATTTGGGGTGGTGAGAGCAGTGGTCATTCAGCACAGTACCTCCACAGTAAAGACAAAGGAAATCAAATCAGAAAGGTCTAGAAGAACAAAGCACTTTCAGTCTTGCAGTTCTTGCCTTTTAAAAAATCCACAAAGGAGGAATATCGGAAAGGACTGCCATCACAAGACAAGGCTTACTGTAAGTGGGAGAGGATCTGGTGCCCTTCATTTCTTGTAATTATCTAGATTTTTTTTTTCTAACTCCACAGAAAACCTGTCCCCATAATCTGAAACTAAGGGGGCATATCCTTCTTAGAGATTTGAGTAAACACACTTGAGAACTTATAAGATAAAGGGAACCGAAAAGTGAAATAAAAATAAGCAACATTCTAAGCATACAGATTTTATTTTAGAATTATAATATGCTTTTATAAAGTATACTAGAGGGGCACCTGGGTGGCTCAGTCAGTTAAGCATCCCGCTTTGGCTCATTCATGATCGACTCTTGATTTCGGCTGAGGTCATTATCTCACAGTTTGTGAGTTTGAGCTCCGTGTCAGGCTCTGTGCTAACAGCTCAGAGCCTGGAACCTGTTTTAGGTTCTGTGTCTCCCTCTCTCTCTGCCTGTCCCCAGCTTGTGTTCTCTCTCTCTCTCAAAAGTAAATAAATAAATGTTTAAAAAATAAATAAAAGTGTACTAGATTGTTTATTTCTTCCAACTATCCTATAACAGAGTTCTTATTCTTCCTATTTTATATATACATACACTGTGTATACACATACACATAAATATATGTATGTATACATACATACATATAAAATATTCTTCCTATTATATTTATATGTATACACTGTGCAATAATTCCACAGCAATTTGGGTTTTACCAACTTCTGAAATAACTTCTGAATCTTACTACCTACAGGAGGTAAAAGTAGCTACAATGAGAGGAATAGGACTAAAAATATAATAAAACTCATGAAACTAGTCAAGAGAATATGGCAAAGGTATAGGATAGGCAAGTGGGTCAAAAGAATAGAGTCCAGAAATAGAATAGAACCACACTGAAGTGGTCAATTGATTTCCAACAAGATGCCAAAACAGTTCAATGGATGGAGGGATGTTTTCAACAAATGGAGCTGTAACAACTAGATAGCAAAATTTAAAAAATAAATGTACCTTAACTTTAGTTCACAGCATACACGAAGATCAATTCAAGATGGATCATAGACTTAAAGACGAATATTATAAAACTTCTAGTAGAAAACAGGAAAATTCCTTGAGGGTGAGCAAGAATTTCTTAGACCAGGAACAAAAAACATGATCTATAAGAGAAGAAAAATTGATAAAGTGAACTCCATCAAAATTAAAATCTTCTAATCAAAAAAATATTGTTAGGAAAATGAATAGGCAAGCCACAGGCTGAAAAAAAAATATTCTCAAAACATTTATCTGACAAAGAACTTGTACGCAAAATATACAAAGAATACCTATCAAAATAACTAAGAGACAGAAATATACAATTAAAAATAGAAAAATATGCAAGAGATTTAAATGGACAATTCATAAAAGAAGTTATGTAAATGGCCACGAGGCATATACAATGTCAATACTAATGTCATTAGTAGTCAGAGATATGCAAATCAAAACCACGATGACATACTTCTTCCCAAACATTAGAACAGCAAGAATTAAAAAGACAGACAAAATCAAATATTGATGACAATATGAAGCAAGTGAGATTTTTTCAATTTTTTTTAATGTTTATTTATTTTTGAGAGAGACAGAGAGACAGACTGTGAGTGACGGAGGGGTAGAGAGAGGGAGACACAGAATCTGAAGCAGGCTCCAGGCTCCATACTGTCAGCACAGAGCCGGACGTGGGGCTCAAACTCATGAACTGTGAGATCATGACCTGAGCCGAAGTCTGACACTTAACTGACTGAGCCACCCAGACGCCCCAGCAAATGAAATTTTTATACACAGACTGTGAGAGTATAAGATGGAACACCCACACTAGGAAAACTGTCTTGTAGTTTCTTATAAACATATATCCAGGGTATAATTCAATAATTCCAGAAATGAGGACATGTAGACACAAAAAGAATTGTTTAAGAATTTTTTTTGCAGCTTTATTTATAATTGCCCAAACCTGGGAAAACCTAAATGTCCATCAGAAGAAGAACGGAAAACAAACTGTGGTAACATTCACATAGAAATACTAACTAGGTCAAGATAAAAAAAATAAAAAGAAACTACTGATGTGCAGTAACATGACTG